TGTAGCATGTATCAGGACTTCATTCCTCCTTATGGCTGAATAGTGTTCTACACGAATCCTTGGTGGCACAAATGGTTAAGTACTTAGCTACTAACCAAAAAGTTGGCAGTTTGAATCCACCCAGGGGTGCCTCGGAAGAAAGGCCTGACCATCTAGTTCCAGAAGATCACAGCCATTGAAAACCCTATGGAGCACAATTCTACTCTGATGCACATGGGATCACCAAGAGTCAGAATCAATTCAATGGCAACTGTGGTGGTCATACTCCATTGTATATATATATATATATATATATATATATATATACCACATTTTGTTTATCTGTTTGCTCTTGTACGTTTGGGTTGTTTCCACCTTTTGGCTGTTGTGAATAATGCTGCAATGAACATTCGTGTATAAGTTTTTGTTTACACACCCGTTTTCTTTTGTGTGTATCTCCAGGGCTTCAATGTCTTTAGAGTTGTGACTTGTTTTAGGTCAGGCAACAGGAGAAACTTCTTTCTGTGAGAGGGGCGAGGCAGGGGTCTTGTGGCTGTCTGTTGCTGAGGCCAGGCACAGTCCAGTGGCAGGCAGAGCTGGGGGAAGCGTGGCTGTGGGGGAGGGTGGAGTGGGACCCACCTTTGCCATTGGCCGAAGTATGCAATAGGCCAAGTCCACACGGGTGCCCTCCTCTTACCCCCTTTCGGCACCTCTTGGCCTTTCCTGTCTCAGTATCCATTCCTCCCCTGCAGGTACCTTCTTGCAGGGGTCAAGCACAGGGCTTGCATTCCCTAGATGGCGTGTTAGTTCCTGAGGTCCCCGGATGGTGCAAATGGTTTGTGCTCTACTACTAACCTAAAGGTTGGCGGTTGAACCCCCCACAGCAGTGCCACAGAAGAAAGACTTGGCGATCTGCTTGTGTAAAGATTACAGCCAAGGAAACCCGATGGAGTAGTTCTGTTCTGTAACGCATGGGGTCAAGATGAGTTGGAATTGACTGGATGGCAATGAGTTTGGGGTTTTTTTGGTGTTAGTTTCCTAGTGCTGCCACATCAAATGACCACAAATTGGGTGTCTTATAAGAACAGCAGTTTATTGCCTCACAGTTCCGGAAGCTGGGAGTCCAAATCATCATGTCAGCTGGGCCGTGTGCTCCAAGGTCTCTAGGGGAAGATCCCTTCTTGTCTGTCCCAGCTCCTGGAAGCCCCAGGTGCCCATCTCTGCCTCTGTCTCATGTGGCTGCCTTCCTTCTGTGTCTACCTGTGTCTCTGTATGAGGACCCCACCCTCCTCCAGCGAGACCTTATGTTAACTGATAACATCTGCAAAGACTATTTCCCAACAAGGTCACACTCAGGTACTGAAGAATTAGGACTTCAGTGGATCTTTTTGGGGGGACATAATTCAGTTTATAACAGTGGGGGAGAACTGAGGCCTGTCACTTCATCTCCTTCGTCATCAGTAAGTGTCCTCAAATGCCAGGGGGGCTTCTTTTGACCCCACAGGGTTATTTAGATGAATTAACCAGAGTCATCCTAGAGAGAAAAGCACTGTGCAGCTGTGGAGGTGGGCAGGCACCATTACTGCCATTTCAGAGGTGGGGCGCTGAGTCAGGAGGTTTGGCTCACCCCCTCACCAGCCCATGTGAGGGGCTGTGTCTTCATTCACCATCTGGCCTTCTCACCAGACCTTATTTGTCAATGTCTTAAGGTGCTAACCTCCCCAGTAGGTGTTTGCCTTTCAGATTAGGTTGTCTTGGAAACAGAAGCCACAGAGGTGCGATTTCTTTATTTCAGTTGTTGTTCAAAAACATCCCACCAATCAACAGTTTCTATGAATACAGTTCAGTGACACTGATTACATTCTTCAAGTTTTGCGACCATTCTCACTCTTCTTTTCCCAATTGTCCCTCTGCCATTAACATACCATTGTTAATGGTGGCGTTTCAGACAACCTGACGGTGAGGTTGGAGTCCAGGCTGGTGTGCAGACTGGTCTCACTTAGCATTTTAATGACACCCCCTCTAATGGGGATCCCCTAGTTGTTGAGCATTCCTGGTGACAGACACTCTGCTAGGTGCCAAGTTTGTTAAAACGTATTTCAAAACCGGGCTAATATCCTGTGTTATAGACGGCAGAGATACTGCAGCCTGGTTGAGCCATTTGCCAGAGCTCATGCAGCTAGTAAAGTGTGGAGTCAGGATTGGAACTCAAGGCTTTTTGAGCCCAAGGGCTGTTTACCCATTTCGGCCATATCAATCTCTGACCCTTGCTTAACACCCTTTAATAATATCCTGCACCCTCACCAGTTCTTTGGACAAGCACCAATATAGCCTTCCCATCTTTGATGCTCCAAAATATTTGACTCAAGCAGAAGGGACCTGGCATCTTACCCCACTGTTCCCCTTGGTTCTAGAATATTTCTCTTTTCAGTTAAACACTCATTCTCAAACCCCTGCCCCCCACTCCTCCTTTACTCTCAACCCTACTCACAGCCAGAATGTCGGTCCCCTTCCCTCCCTCCTTGCCTCCCTCCTTCTTCTTTCATCCTTGTTTTCTTTTTCTCTCCCCCCTTCTTTCTTTCCTTCCTAAGTAAACACACACACACACACACACACACACTTTTTTCATCGTAAGGCTACTTGTCTTGCATACATTTTGACCATCTTCCAGCCCTCGACAAGCCAAAGCTGTGTCTGCAGCTCCAGGTAAACATGCTAAGTGTGTTCTCATGCTCTTGGGCTTAATGACTGTGTTTGGCCAGGGGAGCACAGCCCGGCGGGGCTGCACACAGCCTGGCCGCTGTCTGTAGCTCTGAGACTGGTTGTACAGAAGACAGTCTTCCATGCCGAATCAAACCAGCTCTGCGTGTTGCCAGGTGTAGGAGACAGAAGCACTTGGTGCATAGGGGAAGGCTTTTAATTAAATTGTGAAAATGTGTAATGAAACATACATAGCAGCTACACAGAGGGCCAGAGGAGTATACGTATTTATATGAAATCCCAGGAGCTGGGAGGATTTATTCAGGGTACCGCAGGAAGTAGGGATGCGTGGATCTGCATCTTCCACAGAGCCTGGAGCAGCCTGGGAGCTGTGTGTCTCTGCTTTCAGTCTTTTCTCTTGTTTTCCTGGCCAGTGACCATCCGTGACGTTTGGGAGCTGATTTGCTTTAACCTTTCTGAACGGGGTCTGGCTTTGCTGAGCAGTGCACGGCTGCCTGCCTTCTGTGGCCAGGACTCTACTTGCAGTCAATTGACTTTCTTCAAAACGCATTGCAATTGTGGAGGCTAATTTGGACCCTCTGTCCTTATTTTGGAGCCCTGGTGGCACCCTGGTTAAGAGCTTGGCTGCTAACCAGAAGGTTGGCAGTTGGAATCCAGCAGCTGCTCCTTGGAAACCCTGCTGGAGAAGTTCTTCTCTGTCCTATAGGGTTGCTATGAGTTGAAATCAACTTGACGGCAATGGGTATGGTTTCGGGTTTTTGGTCCTTATTTTGGAATCCCTGGATGGTGTGAATCGGTAACATGCTCGGCCGCTAACCAAAAGGTTGGAGGTTTGAGCCCACCCAGAGATGCCTTGGAAGAAAGGCCTGGCAATCTACTTCTAAAAAATCAGCCATTGAAAACCTGTGGAGCACAGTTCTATTTTGCACACATGGGGTCGCCATGAGTCGGAGGTGACTTGACAGCAAATGGTTTGGTTTTTTTGGTCCTTACTTTTAAATGTTCTTTAACAACTTTTACTTTCTGTGTTGATTGAAGAAAATTTTGACTGAGCAGATAAGTAAAAAGAAGAGAATGAAAATTGCCCATCGCCCCACCACTGGGAGATCTCCACTGTGTTAGCATCTGTGCCAGTATCTTGTTTCTGTGTCGTATGTACTTTACTCAGACGTTTTTAAAGAAAAGTAATACATATGCATGGTTAAAAGAAATTAAATAGTACACAAGTACAGACAATGAAAAGTAATGAAAAGATTCCCAGTTCTCTTTGCCAGAATGAGTTGGACACTTGATGAGAAAACCCCGTTTAGCTCCGCACTGATTCGCAGCATTATTATAGGCTGTTTTCCGTCTCACTCTGCTGTGACTTGCATTAGTCACTTCCGTTAGGTCCGCACAGCAGGCCCTGAGCGGCAGCTGCTGCTGCGCTCCGGTCTGTGGATTTCAGGATTCAGCTTCTGTAGCGGGGATGCGTAGAGTGACTGGGCCCCCGACAAGCACAGTACCGCTTTCTGGGGAGGCCAAAGAGGAGAAGAAGCATTGGTGGTTCAGTGGTAGAATTCTTGCCTCCCATACAGGAGACCTGGATTTGATTCCTGGCCAGTGCACCCCATGCGCAGCCATCACCTGTCTGTCACTAGAGGCTTGCGTGTTGCTGCGATGCTGAACAGGTTTCAGCAGAGCTTCCAGACTAAGACATACTAGGAAGAAAGGCATGGTGATCTGTTTCCAAGATTAGCTACTGAAAATCCTGTGGATCACAACAGCGGTCTGATGCACAACTGATCGTGGGGTTGGTGCAGGACCTTGCAGTGTTTTGTTCTGCCACCATGAGTCTGGCCCAAAAAAACCAAACCAATCCCACTGCTGTCAAGTAGATTCTGACTCATAGCGACCCTATAGGACAGAGTAGAACTGCCCCATAGGGTTTCTAAGGCTGTACATCTTTATGGAAGCTGACTGCAGCATCTTTCTCCTGCGGCCAACTGGACAGCAGCTAACAATAACGAAGAGGAGAAAGTCACCTCTCTTCGCCGACTGCCATTTCCCTTTGTACTCTAGGGCATGCCGCTCCTGCTGTGATTGCTCTGACAGAGCAATCGCTGCCAACACCCCAGGCTTATGCAACCTCAACATCACACATGCGCTGCCTGTGACCTCCCCCGAGGAAAGCCTGGGTGCCGTGCACTCCCCAGCACCAGAGCTGCCCCAGGGTGGCTTCATCAGCCTCTAACTTCCTGGTTTATAGACAGTTGCAAAAAGTGCCAGATGTGTGTGACCTTTTCTTTTCTTTTCAACAGAAGCCTGGAATGGTCCCCCCTCCGCCAGGAGAGGAGAGCCAGACAGCCGTGCTCCCGCCTGGCTGGCAAAGCTACTTGTCACCACAGGGCCGGCGCTACTATGTCAACACCACAACCAATGGTGAGTCCTGCCCCTGTGAGCTTCGTGCACCCGGCACCCTGATTTCTGTCTCTCTGCGGGAGCAACTTTCTCCTTCCTCCTCTGCCCCCATCTTCAGCTTTTTTTCAGAAATCTACCCTCAAAGGCTGCAGTGGAGCCTTGCTCTGCCCACGGTGTTGGATGGTAGGGTCTGGGTCTGTAGTGTGGGAGTATATTCAGAAGGAAGGCTGCCCTTTAAGGTTGCTGTCATCCCTGGGACCTCACAGCCGCCTCACGCATCCTCATTGAACCCAACCTCACGGTCAGCACCTTCCAGACTGGCATCTCGAAAGGTTCTGTAGTCAAATGCTGGTTTAAATCAACTTCAACAGGTTAAGTTACCACTACGTGATTTCTCAGAAGTTTGAATGTACTGATGAGCCCCGAAGCCTCCAAAACAGTGATTGCCGAATGTTATGGCTCGAGTTGTGTCCCCCAAAACTATGTGTTGTAAATCCTAACCCCTATATCTGTGGTTGGAGCCCTCATGGCACAGTGGTTAAGAGCTCGGCTGCTAACCAAAAGGTCGGCAGTTCGAATCCACCAGCTGCTCCTGGAAACCCTATGAGGCAGTTCTACTCTGTCCTATAGGGTCGCTATGAGTCGGACTCGACTTGACAACAATGGCTTTGGGTTTCGTTTTTTGGGTATCGCTAGTTATAATCCCATTCGACAGTGGGTTTTCTTTGTTATGTTAATGAGAAAGGATTGGTGTAGGGTGTGTTTTAAGTCAATTTCCTTTGGGATATAAAAGATTAAACAAGCAAGCGAGAGAAGCAGAGATGGGGGAAGAGAGATGCCAAGCCACGTGAAGATTGCTCAGGAGCAGAAGCTCAAAACAAACAAAGATCTTCCTCCAGAGCTGAAAAAAGAAAGCCTTCCCCTAGAGCTGACACCCTGCATTTGGACTTCTAGTCTTAACTAAACTGTGAGAAGATAAATGTTATAGCCACCCAGTTGTGGTATTTCTGTTATAGCAGCACTAGATAACGAAGACACCAGTGTAGGCTTTCCGTAACCAATTGCACTACAAAAATTACTGGCTGTTCCTGAAGCATCTCACTGGGCTGGTGTTTCACAGAATGTTCTTTGGGAAATGCTGGAGCTACTTTGGATCATTCATTCTAATCGATCACACAGATTCCATGTGCATTTCTGAGTTGAATAAGACCTCACTTCCACTGTAGGGACCTCTGCTTTTTTCTTAGGAGCCTGTTGTTGCTAAGAGAGTTTCCCCATGCCCACAGTGATTATGGACTTCCCTGGACAGTCTACGGAGCTTCCAGGATATGTAGGCTCTATAGTAACTCGCACCAAAGAAATATACCTGTTGCTTTCAAGACAGTTCCAACTTATGGTGACCCCGTGTGTGTCAGAGTAGAACTATGCTCCATAGCGTTTCTAATGGCTGTGCTCTTTCAGAAGGAGATCATCAGGTCTTTCTTCCAAGGCACCTCTGGGTGTACTCAAACTGACAACCTTTCTATTAGCAGCCACATGCTTAACCGTTTGCACCACCCAGGGACTCCTTAGTCACCTGCAAGTGGGTCTATAAAGGGAAGGTGTACAGTGCAGCAGATTCTGTACCAAGGCACTGATGCAGGCTGTGGGCTCTGGCTCTGGGCAAAGCAGGCCAAGTCGGCTAACAGTTCTCTCCTGTGCTTATGACTCCCCAAGGAAATTGCCATGAGAGAATTGAGAGGATTGAAACATGGAAAATCAGATCTGGTAGGAATCCAGGATGTGCATGCCAAAGCAGACATGACACCCACCCATATCCACCAGTCGGCTCAGCCTTGGTGTCTCGCTTCCCTCCCCTGTGCCCACTTAGCTTTACAGCCACCTCTCCTCCACCAGAGGGACCATTAATGTGGTTGAGGAGTATGAGCCTGCACATGAGGGGTCCTGGTGGCAGGAGAGTCAGCTGCTGTTCAGAGGGCCAAACAGAAAGCAGCTGACAGCTGCCACTCTAGAAGGCTTGTTTGTTCATATCCCTTGGCAACCTGGTCTTCCAGGCCCAAGAGGGGGTGTCTAGTTGAAGAGGTAACCAAGGTTTCTAGGAAGAGGGAAGTTTCTGACTATTCTAATCTTGAACTTCCTCAAAGCAAGCAGATGAGCATTGCATCATTATCAGTGACCGGAGGTTTTGGAAGAGAGTGTTTACGTGCTACTCCCCACCTGTAACTTGCACGCTTTGGGCCAGATGATCCTGAATTGACTCTAGTCCTGAGTTAGCCACTCTATTGCAAAGGACCGGGGCTGGGAGGGCAGGGGGGTGTGACTTTCTAAAATTAGCGTTTTTTTTTTTTTTTTGTTTAATTAAGAGCAGAATATAGTCTCAGGGTAGAAATTCAAAGAGTACACACCCTTCCAGACATGCATGTTCTCGCTCTCGCTCCTAGCAGGTAAGTATGCATAATCTTTTTTCAATAAATTGGGAAGTATTATCCATGTTGTTCTGTAAATTGCTTTGACAATGTATTGCAGATCTTTTTCCATACTTGAACACTTCAGTCTAACTCATTCTTTTTAATAGCTGCATAGTAGTCCATTGCATGAGTATGCTGTCATTAATTAATTAGCCCTCTTTTTATTAATGGGAGTCCTTGGGTGGTGCAAAGGCTAAGTACTTGGCTACTAACCAAAAGGTCGGTGGTTCGAATCCACCGAGGGGTGCCTCAGAAGAAAAGCCTGATGATCTCCTTCAGTGTCACAATCATTGAAAACCCTATGGAGCACAGTTCTACTCTGAAACACATGGGGTCGCCGTGAGTCAGGATCAGCTTGATGGCAACTGTTACTGGTACTTCATCCTCTTAATAAGCAATGTTGTCGTTGTTGCTAGGTGTATCAAGTAGACTCATAGAGACCCCAGGTGATAGAGTAGAACTGCTCCATAGGGTTTTCTTGGATCTAATGTTTATGAAAGCAGATTGCCAGGCCTTTCTCCTGTGGAGCCGCTGTGTGGGTTTGAACCACTAACCTTTCGGTTAGCAGCCGAGTGCTTAATTGTTTGCACTGCCAGGGCTTGTCACCTTTTAGTTAGCAGACAGCATCTGGCAGCTTTTTTCTCAGACCCAGACTTTAGCATATGCCATGAGCCAGGACATCCTTATGGGCCCCAGGATACAGTGATCCCAAGGTGGCTCCAGGCAGGGGTCAACAGGCTTTTTCCGAAAAGGGCCAGATAATAAATATTTTAGGCTTTGCGAGCCACTGGGTCTCTTGTCGTGACTACCCAGCGCTGGCCTTGTAGCATAAAAGCAGCCGTAGACTACATATGTGAGTTTGACTGTGTTCCAATAAACCTACATTTATAGACACTGAAAGGTGAATTCCATATACTTTTTTACATATCATAAAACATGATTCTCTTTCAACCATGCAAAAATGTAGAAACCAGTCTTAGTTCACGAGTTCATGGCTGTATAGTAGCAGGTGGTGGCCCAGAGTTTGCTGCTGACCCCTGTCGGAGGCTATCTGCCACCTTCAGTAGGACCGACCCTACTTACCCTTTCCCTCCATCTCTGTTATCCTGACACTCATCCTGGCTCCTAGATTTTGCATTCCAGATACACGCCAGTTTTATTCATTGAATGTGCAGTTCCTTGTTTATCTATTTGATTGATTGAATCTTTCATTCAGCAAGTACTTACTGAGCTTCAAATATGTACCAGACTGAGTGCTGGCTGCTGGGAATATAATAATAAAAAGAAGCAGTCCCTGTTCTCAAAGGAAAGGCAGATTTTCCATGAATACATATTTGGTTGCAATCATGAGAAGGGCTGTGAAGGAGAAGTCCAGGGTGTTTTGAAAGCATGTCACAGACCCTGGGAGGTCAGGGAAGGCTTCTTGAGGGAGGAGGTTTTTTTTTTTTTTTAAAATTGTTGTTTGTTTGTTGACATTTATTTATTGTGGTAAATATGTATGTAACAAAACATTCACCCTTTCAACAATCTTCACATGTACAGTTCAGTGACATTAGTTGCGTTCATCGTGTTGTTCAACCATTACCGTTATCATTCCCAAATTTTTCATCCCCCTTAATAGAGGCTCAATTTCACTCAAGCACCGAGTCATTATTTCTCCTTCCTGCCCGCCCGCTTGCCTGTCTGCCTGCCCACCCCTGATGACCTCTAATAAACTTTTTTTCTATATTCTTCCCTATTCTATATATTTCATGTAAGTGGGAGCATACAATATTTGTCCTTTTGTGAGTGACTTCGTTCACTCAGCGTAATGTTTTCGAGGTTCATCCATGTTGTAGCATTGTATCAGGACTGCATTCCTCTTTGTGGCTGAGGAATATTCCATTGTATGTATAGACTACATTTTGTTTATCCGTTCATGTGTTGATGGACATTTCGGCTGTTTAGGAGGACGTATTTTGGAGTTAAAATTGGAAGGATGAGGGAGGTGAAGGGGCTGAGAATGGGAAGCACCTTCCTGAAGGCAAAGAGTTTGTCATGTTTGGTGAAGGGAGAGAAGATCAGGGTAGCTGGTGTTCTGGGAGTCATGGGGATAGCGTCTTGAGAACAGGGACAGATTGTTCTGTCTTCGAACGCCATGTTAATGCTCTTTAGTCTGCTGGAGTGGGAGGCCCAGCTGTCTTTCTGACTCTCCTCTGGAATTCCTTCTTAGACTGGTTTTGTTTGGCTGCTGTCGTGTCTTTAACATTTTTGAATTGGACTCTCTTTCTGCAAGAAATTACCTGTCAGGAAGGGTAACCTGCTTTTCTCTTACGTGCATTTATCTTGCTCTCCTGACTCCTGGAGGCATGTGAGATTGTACTTCCTGCTGGACCATTGCACCCACTCTTCTGCCCCAACTCTTGGGTCTTGTGCCCACGTGGCTCAGACCAGAGCTGCGTGCTAAAGCTCCAAGACCAGAGGTGCCCCCTTCCCAGGCAGCAGTTCATTCCTTCACACACTAGACCCACTGCCCAGGAAGCCAAGCCCATGGCAAGCGGCCACTGGCCATTA